TCTGAATAAGTGTACATCCCATCCACAAATTTGACGGTTTCCCATGATGTGCCACCATCAGGTGAGTATTTTATTTCCTTATTTTGATACTGTTCTGAAATATTGTGCCAACTGTAAGTTATAGTGGCCTTATCCAAGGCTATTTCATGTGTCATGTTATTTTGGAGTTTTAACACTGGATCAAATTTGATTATGAAGTCCTCTGCTTTATTCCGTCCGATTTTCTGTCTATTAACAGATGAAATATGGATTGCTCTTTCCTGCATTTATATTATTAGATTACATTATATACTGTTTTATCAGACTATTAAGCTGGTTGTTATTTAGAACACCTAATTTGTTCAGTGTGTGAGCAAATTTGGAAAAATCATTTTTCACACCATTATTTCCAGCTAGTATTGATCCACCTAATAATTCTGATCTGTCCAATAGATCAACTGGGTTATTATAATAAGCAACCCCTGAACCGATTTTTTTGTATTTATTACTTGTTCGGTGAATTGGAATATCACTTATTCTGTCAGGTCATCAAATACCATTTTTGATAATGGTGAATACTTCTTTTTACTATTGAACCGCTTTGTGAGCAGATCAAGGGTATCAAAGTCCACTTGCTTATCATATACTTTTTTACCATCCTTATGAGCAATTAGCTTGAGCTGGCCATAAAGTTTGGGCACGTCAATGGTTACATTTCCATAAACACCAGTATTAGGGTTAATCTTATAGGCATTTGTCTTTTTTTGTGTATAAATACCTTTCCCAACCTTTAGAGTTTTTGTACCTTCCTCTAAAATGCCAATTCTTTGTCGGTATTTTCTAATAATCTCAATTCCTTCATCATATTCGGCAATCTGGTCCTTATTCTTCTTTCTGTTAGTTTTTGTTGTGCTCAAATGGCCTTTTTTCCGACCCAATTTTTTATTTATTGCACCAGATTCATCCAGAATTTGTTTCGCATAATTTGGCTCTTTTAAGGTTTGCAAAAAGATGTCAGCTGGTAATGGCAATTGCTGGTTTTGTATGAATTCCAATTCTTCTTGAGTAAATCCTTTATTCATATCAGCTATCATTTTGGGTGCCACCTCACCACTTGGGCCTGGTAATGCTAATCTTTGAACTTGATCACCATAGGGGATAATTTGTTTATTAACATCTTCTTTCAATTTACTGATCTCCTCTATCTCCTCATCAAACTTTTCCGTTAGAGGTTTCAGATCTTCAGATGTCTTTTCGTAAACATTTTGCTTATTAGTTCGAACTTCTTTTATAACATCCCTAACAACTTCAGTCATTTTTCCTGCTTCAATTTTAGGAATACTGAGTCTCTTGAATCTTTCTATATCCATTATACTATTGTGTTATATAAAACTTATCTGAACTTATCTCAATTTATCTAACATAATATTATATGGATATTCCAAATTATGATTTCAATGAAGACGAAAATACAAACTTCAAACAGCTGTACAAGTATATGCCCAAGTCTAATTTTAGGATGCTAATTTGTGGCAATTCAGGGTCGGGTAAAACAAATCTACTTTACCACATCCTTATGAAACCATTAGTCTATTATGATCAGATCCATTTATACGGTAAAAACTTGGAACAGGAAAAATACAGACACATGATAGAAACAATGAATGACATTAGTAGCCAAGTTGGATATGACATAATGCACTGCAATAATGATGACATTAAACCAGTCAATAGTCTGGAAAGTGATGCCCAGAAAATTGTAATATTTGACGACTTCATTTGTAATAAGAACCAAAAGCCGCTTATCGATTATTTTATTCAAGGCCGTCATAAGAACTGTAGTATTATTTATCTGTCACAATCATTTTATAAAACTCCAAAAGATATCAGACTAAACTGCAGCCATTATGTTGTTTATGATTTCCCTAGCAGTAATGAAAGAAATATGATCTCTAGAGAGCTGAATGTAACAAAGGATCAGTATATTAAAGCAACAAAACAGCCGTACTCATTTCTGTANAGCCACCTTTTCATATAAATCTTGATCTCTAGTTTCAACTTCTTTTATAACATCCCTAACAACTTCAGTCATTTTTCCTGCTTCAATTTTAGGAATACTGAGTCTCTTGAATCTTTCTATATCCATTATACTATTGTGTTATATAAAACTTATCTGAACTTATCTCAATTTATCTAACATAATATTATATGGATATTCCAAATTATGATTTCAATGAAGACGAAAATACAAACTTCAAACAGCTGTACAAGTATATGCCCAAGTCTAATTTTAGGATGCTAATTTGTGGCAATTCAGGGTCGGGTAAAACAAATCTACTTTACCACATCCTTATGAAACCATTAGTCTATTATGATCAGATCCATTTATACGGTAAAAACTTGGAACAGGAAAAATACAGACACATGATAGAAACAATGAATGACATTAGTAGCCAAGTTGGATATGACATAATGCACTGCAATAATGATGACATTAAACCAGTCAATAGTCTGGAAAGTGATGCCCAGAAAATTGTAATATTTGACGACTTCATTTGTAATAAGAACCAAAAGCCGCTTATCGATTATTTTATTCAAGGCCGTCATAAGAACTGTAGTATTATTTATCTGTCACAATCATTTTATAAAACTCCAAAAGATATCAGACTAAACTGCAGCCATTATGTTGTTTATGATTTCCCTAGCAGTAATGAAAGAAATATGATCTCTAGAGAGCTGAATGTAACAAAGGATCAGTATATTAAAGCAACAAAACAGCCGTACTCATTTCTGTATGTAGATAAACCAATGAAGACCGTCAAAAGAAACTTTTATGGAAATATCTAATATACTATTATAAAATGGGAATTTTTAATCAGCAACCTAATTATAATCAATCATACTCAAAAGAAAAACGCGGTATTACTGGCCCTCAAGGACCTCCTGGCCCGCCTGGCCCCGCTGGTGCTTAGAGTGTCCCTGGACCTACTGGCCCTAAAGGTGCTACTGGTGCATCAGGCACTGGTTTTAATCTCACATCAGATGGGAATTACGATATATCAAACAAAAAGCTGACAAGTGTTGCTAAAGGAACTGCTTCCAATGATGCCGTAACTAAAAATCAACGTGATACTAAACTATCACTATCTGGTGGATTAATGACCGGCAATTTGGATATGAATAATAATAGGATATACAATGTAGCACAACCAGATGGTGATAATCAACCAGCTACAAAAATATGGACAGAAAATAAATTCCTGGGTAAGTCCAATGGAGTTATGGCTGGACCACTAAATATGTCTAATAATATAATCACCCATCTAGGTAATGCCACCAGTGGAAAGGATGGTGTTTCACGCGATTTTGGTGATGTACGGTATGTTAAGAAGAGTTGTGATACGATGACGGGTACATTATCAGTTCCAAATATAAGCAGGAGCCTAAATTATTTAACGAAGCGCAACAAGGTCATGAACTATTACAGTCTATTGAATCATTTTTTCCCACGGTATGGAGGACAACTGACTAATAGGGGAGTAAGCGATGGATATATATATAATCTCAAATCTCCACGTTATACAGATACAAAAGGTGACTCATATGCTATGCCGAGGAGTTATACTGATGCACGTTATCATAGACTAAATCAAGATCTGGACATGAACAGTAAGAAGATAACCAATCTAGCCGACCCAACTGATCCTACTGATGGGGTTAATCTGAGATCATTGAATAAACACGGTATAAAGCCATCTGATCACACCAACAGATTTGCATATCCAATGGGCCCTACAAATGGTCTTTTACAATGGACTGATTTGCTAACCAACAGTATTGCCTTAAACAGCATTGGTGATTTGAATGCAACATCGGGCAACTACCACACTTACAATAAAAAGGTCATTTACGCTTCCATTCGGAAGAACTCCCAAGGAGGTTATAAATGGCGATTAGCCATCCAATGCTACCCCCTTCAACAAGACAAAGAATACACCCTTTGTTTAGAAATCCTCACTACTGACTATAAATTGTAGCATAAATCTGTAATTACTGTTGACACAACTACCAGCCAAGGAGTAACTGTAAAAAGATGGCATGTCAATAAGTACTCACATGAGTATAGAACATCTTCCAATCAAGTTGAATATATGTATTATCATAAACTCCTGGTGACATTCCGTAAGACAGCTGAATCTACTCCTTATTTCTTACATATCCAGGATATTATGGCTCAGTCAGAAATTGACTTCAATACATATCCAACTAATTTAAATAAATATTACCTAATAGTTTACGGTATTCTTGGTGAGTCGATGGATTTAGATCCAGAGAAAACGTACGATTACCACACAGCATTTGATATCAAACCGACTGAAGTTGTTTACAATGTAGATCTGGATATGAACAGAAAGAAAATATTAAACATTGCGTCAGATAAAACAAAGAATAATTCGGCTGCTACTGTGAAGATGGTCAAAGATTTGGATACAAAATTGAGCCCTTATACAAAGAACAATGCGTACAGGGAAATATTTGAGGAATTTTATGATTTAAGTGATGCTAGTAACTATAAAATAATAATAGGAGTATCAGGTATCATGGTTTCAGGCATCCTACCTAATATTTATTTTCCTAGAATGGATACTGCCAATATTTGGGAGGGCGGATTGAGAATAAAAAATACCACATTAAGTTTGGAATTATTCAGTAAAAGGAGCTTTACTCTTTGTGTTGTTATGCAGCTGTGGCTGAACCGATCATTTAGTATTAAAACATTGATGAATAGTGGAGTTTATGAAAGACCACATTTGATTTNACTATAAAATAATAATAGGAGTATCAGGTATCATGGTTTCAGGCATCCTACCTAATATTTATTTTCCTAGAATGGATACTGCCAATATTTGGGAGGGCGGATTGAGAATAAAAAATACCACATTAAGTTTGGAATTATTCAGTAAAAGGAGCTTTACTCTTTGTGTTGTTATGCAGCTGTGGCTGAACCGATCATTTAGTATTAAAACATTGATGAATAGTGGAGTTTATGAAAGACCACATTTGATTTATAACAAAACAACAAAGAAATTAAAACTGCAAACTACTGGTCATGGATCAACTAACGAAACTTCTATCACATTACTAAACAGTTTCAACGGTAAACGTGTTGTGTTTTGGTTGACTAAGAAAGGTACAGGGGGTAACATAACAGCAAAAGCATCAATCAGTAATCACAGTGCAACATTAACACTAGGTTCAACTTTAACATCTCAAAGTACCTACACATTCAGAATATTCTCAGAAGATACAGTGATCTATAGAGTAATGTACACTCCAAACTCTCATGACTTCGATTCTTTAGAATTTCATAGAATTATGTTGCAGGAAAAATTAGGCGGTTCTTATGTTCTATAAATAATCTAAACCAATAATATAATGAGTCAAAAAGAAAACATATTTAAGTTTAATCATATAGATAAAAGCAAAACAAAAGAAGAAATCCAGGAAATCAAAGAACTGTATAAGTATTATCATTATAAATATTGGTGTCCCGACAGGCCTTCAAACACTTTAAGAAACTAAACCTCGCCATAAATATATCTTCTACTGGACTGATAGTGATTGGAGCTGTTGCCGGTGGTTTGACGGCCAACCCGGCCATTCTAGGAAGCATATCAGGCGCTGGTGTAGTTCTCAAAACGCTTTCTGACACGAAAAACTATAAACGAAAAATAGAGATGTCAAAGTTTGCTTATTCCACTTACCAGAAAATATTACTTGACCTCCGTACCGCTTTGCGAGGGGGGTCATTTGACAAAAACGATTTCCTAAAGGAACTAAATATATTAGATGATACGATCGTGGACTTTGCTCCATTAGTAACACGATTCGAAAAGCAGTACGCTATAAAATTCCTCTCCCATCCAACAGATCAATAAGGCCTCCTTAAAATTATTCTATTGACATCATCCTTAATGTGACCATAAACTTTGTCCCACCATTCATTGTAATATTTTAGTGTATTTTTTATTCGTTTATGAGCAATGGACTTGTATTCTATTCCTAAGATGTCAAATAGTTGTTTGATGATATAATTTACACTAATAAGCCGTTTTCTGCCCACATCTGGGAGTTCAATACGGTCAAATAGTTTGAATATTCTCAGGATACTCTCTCTATCATGATGCTCAATTTGGATATTATTTTTTTGTGCTATATCATTCAGCGTATTGATGATATGATATTTTCTGTAGTAGATAGACTTTCTTTTTATTCTATATCTATTCTCATAAAAGTCAATGTATTCGTCTGCTGTTAAATAATCATGTACTTGCCCACAATTCTTACACATAAGAAGGTTATCCTTGATCAGTTTTATAGATTCGCAACAGAAATACCGCTCAGGCTTACCGGGATCCTGAATCTGTTCATTACAAAAGATACAATTAACTTGACCCTCCTGGATCAATAATTCGTGAACTTCTTTATTACACATTACTATACTATATTGATTTTTTCTCTTTAAATATGTTACGCTTTTAATCTACGCAAAGTAAATACGCAAAAATGAAAAATTTCACTGAAACGTTTCACAATTGCGTAGCTGTAATGCGTAGCTTCACCTTCTTGAATATTCTAATGACTTATTTCCTTGGGAAATATTGTATGACTTTCTCGGTAGGAAATTGATGATCTCATTATTTGGGGCTTTCCCATTGTCACATGACAGTCGTATTATTTTTATCAACCAATCATAACTTTCATTTTTTTGCCAATTTTGTTTCTCAAATGATTTCTATTTCTATTTTGGAATGGGTTTTGGAAGCATGACTGGTGGATATATTAGTTGAACTGGATCGTCAATTCATCGATCAATTGTTGTTGCTTAGCAGTGATCTTAATCAGAGCTTCTTCTTTAGTCTGTTTTTTGTATTTAGCAACTGATCTATAACGTTTGCCATCAACTTTCGTATCGTAATAGAGTAACTTATTCATTGGATCATCTTTGATCTTGATTTTATCACCAAACTTCTGGCGCAGTCTTTCTCGCATTTGATTTTCTGTCTCAATTTGCGCTTGATGTTTGTATTCAATTTTGACTGTCTGTTTTGGGACTAATTGTTTGTTGAGTAAACGGTCCCCATATTTTTCACTATAATATCTAATGTATTCAGCTTCCACTCTGTTTAATTCTTGTCGATCCTTACAAGGTGCGCGTATTACTGGCACAATTATTGGTTCATCATCCTTGTACTTGAATATTGCACTTGATTTTGTAGTCACATGTTCATTGAGCCGTTCTTGTAGATTTCTAATAGAGCTACCGATATATAATTTGTCATTGTGTTTGAACGTGATCTTATATATTTGACCTTTATGGTAGTCATCATTGAAGTAACTATTCACTGTCACACAGAGCGGTGGCATTCTGATTTTATATTTGGGGTTCAACTTTGTTGTATCAAGATGGACATGATTTAGTTCCTTTGTTCTAGATAATGCTGTGTAGACTTGTTTCTTGTCCATTTTTTCTGCAGCATAAATGTTATATGGGGTGCTTATTATTCCTCCCTGATATTTATACACCGTAACGCAAAATGCTGGGATGAAAGATTCGCTGAATTCACTGTGACTGAATACTGTTCCATTTAGCGTAAATACGAGATTGCCCTCATCATTCTCGTTAATCCTGTCAATATTGTACTGCTCCATATTAAACATATCTTTATTGCGCATATTTTGCGTTACCATCATTGGCATCCCGTTTGATACTCTATATTTCTCCCTATGTCCTTGATACTTAAAATCGATCTCATAATATTCCAAGTTTTCTGTAAATCTATTACAGCATATCTTGTGTGACATGCCGTCTTGTTTTGTTCAGATAGCAAATATTATGGTAACTATCCACCGGTGATTCAAATTGGTGTTTAATACTGCCACACTTAAGAAACTTGGTTAACAGATCCCGTGTTTGTGGGTCGTATCGAGCATATTCTTCTATGTACTTCATTTCAACCCGTCGCGGGCACATCTCAGAAACAGCCACTGACTCAAAATAATCGTAAAACATATCAGATGGCTCAACGGGATCACACTGATTAGTATCACCAAACATATAAATAGTGAGTCTGTATTTAGTGAACGCTTGATAGAGCTTCGTCATCCACTTTTTAGGAGTCATGGAGTATTCGTCCACAAATATTGTTTTGCCCTCTAGTGCTGTTATGTCACGTCCGTGATGATCACAAAAGAACAGATCAAATGTATAACACTTCTTGGCTAACTCATAATTATTGTACACATTACACAGCACCGATTTTATATTCTGGATAGCCTTATTAGTAAATGATAGGATTATGGGGCCATCAGCTGCTATTTTTTTTTTTATTACTAATACTAATAATATAATACAACAAATTAAAACTGATATTATTACAACACTAAAAAAAAAAAAAAAAAAAC